CTGAGGCTAGTTCTGATGCTTCAGAGGAAAGTGAACTTCTCTCAGCCCTTATACCCTAATAATGTGGGGGTGAGGAGAGTGGAGAAGGAGTGTAATTTCTTCCTGGCCCCTGCAGGCAACCAGTAAAAGTTTTGAAGCTTGGAATTAATACAGAAAAATATTGCAACCAATTCTGTTAGAATATTACAAATTGAAGAGGCAGAAATATAAACAAAGAAAGGAGACCTAATCCAAAAAGTGCTTTTACTACTGCCCAGCCTCACCTTTCTTATCTGCAGGAACAAAATCATAGAATTTCCTGTACTCTAAACTAACCTAACTGGCACGTTCAGAACACAAACTCACTTCAGAAACTCTGGGCTATGTCATTATAATGCAAAATTTCTGTAATGTTGTACCTCCCTGTACTCTTACGAAGCAGTTCCTCACCATGAGACCTCTTACTCTAGTTTTGGCCTCTGCCTCCAAATCCTGCCCTTGCTGTTATTGCAGTCAGGGAACTTCTTGCTACCGGACACCTCTCACATACGTAGCCATCCCACATGGGTCATGTCCATGCATGCAGGCACGGGTGCTTGCAGGAGCTCAGATAGCAGCAGCACAAATTTGTGCCAGATATTTTTTGCTTCAGCATAGGTGTGTGAACATGCACTTTGGTGTGGAGCAAATTGTGGCAAACTGACCCTGCCCAGCTCCTCCCAGATCTTCAGCCAGGGGGAGCTAGAGGCTGGGGCCAACTCCTCTGCTGTCTTCAGCGGTATAAAATCCTGCCCTGGCGAGCAGCTCAGGGCTAATTCACCTTTAGGAGCTTCTGAAGCCCAGCCAATTGGTATCTGGAGATGCTACCCTTTGTGCCAGCTGGACTGCTGAAGCAGCCCTAACCTAGAGTGGCCCCTGCACCCTCTACCCACTCCAGCAGTCTGACAGGGTGGGCTGTTGCCTGGCTGTGACCTGTTGCTACTTGTGACAGCATCTCCATTCTTGGACCTCTGGCCCCTTGCCTGTGTGCGTGCCATACCTGTACGGGGATTGCGCAGCCTCCTGGGCTGTGGTATGGGAACTGCAGCAGAACCTCCTGCACATCTGGGTCAGCTGCCAGTGGGCTGTAGCTGCACATTTGGCTGTGGGGCAGAACTGCTGTCATGTCTTCTGGTGCCTCTGCTCTGCCATCTGGACAGCTATTGGCCAGAAGATGTGCTCCTTGCAGTGGCCTGCTTTGAACTATCAAAGTGTGTCCTCCTTGCCCCAAATGGCCAAGAGGTCAGCCACCTCGTTTGCCCTCCAGTTGGGTCCCTGGTGCTGGGCTTGGACAATCTCCTCTGTCCAGGTCTCGCCACTTGTGTCACCAGCAGAAATTCTAGTGTTCCCTGTTTAAAAACTGCAAATTCTCTGATAAACCCAAATTCTCTCATTAAAATACCCCAAATCCATGTTCTTCCGCTATTAAAATGAAACACCACTATATACAGAGAGATCAGTTGGGCAATGTTTTATTGATATATTTACGAGTTTAAAGCAGTTTGGAAGTCTACCAGTGCTGCTATCATCATAAAAAAAATGGATTCTAAATATCTATACATTTTGGTATTTATTTTTGTTTTTTGGCATAAAAAAATCAGAGCTGCCTCTGCCCCTTTCGCTCACCAGGATGTGCGGACTGAGCAGTACTGATATGCCACTGCCCTGCCTCTGCCCTTGCCCCTCACTCTCAACCCAAAGCTCCCCCTAGTCCCCTCACTCCTGTCCCACAACCCCTGCCTGCCCCCCAACTAGCTCCCTCCCAGCTGTAGCTCTGTCCCAGCACCAGGACATGAGTCCAGCTGCAGCTGTCCCATGTGCTGCTTTGTGGCTCTGAGCAGTGCCCTTGCTGTTTGGTTCCCTACCCCATGCTGTTCCTGGGAAGCCCTCAACGGGCTCAGGGACTGATTTGGGCTCTTTTCTCCCAGGCTGGCCTCCCCTTGCACAGGCTCTAGGCCTGGCTCTCAAGGCCTCTCCTACCCAGAGCACTCCCCCACCCCTCATCTCTCTGTCACACATCCCTGCTGCCACCTCCATCCCTGCCCCCAGCCCATCACACCCCCAAGTCGTTCCTGGGACCAGGAGCCGTCCCCGTGCTGGGGCCTTATGTCCCAGCACTGCTGTGGGCATGGGGCAGGGCTGCAATGAGGCAGTTGACCCTGCAGCTGTGGCTCCTGCCAGCAGGTCCTGTCCCGTCCTGTTTGGGAGCTGGGCATGTAGGGTGTGATTTGTGGGGGGATGTGGGGTTTGGGAGGGGGTTTACAGGTGGGTGTAGAGTTTGTGGGGGTGAGGTTTGGGACAGCACCAGGCTGCTTTGATTGTTACCTGGGGTCCTGGCACAGCATGCAGGAGCCTGCCTGTTGAGCTGGGCCAGGTCCTGCCTCTTTGGAGCCGTCCTGGCCTGATGCTGTGTGGGGCACTTGGAGACGGGACCCCTGTGTCCGGTGCTAGGACCCCAGGTGACAGCCAGAGGGCCTGGTGCTGCCGAAGGTGAAGGCTGGGCCTACGCAATGTGGTGCAGGCAATGCTGGGTGCTAGGCAGCTGGGGCTGCACTGCACAGTGCTGTGGGGGTCATTCCCAGGAGGGTCCTGAGTACCCCAGTAG